AAAGATCGTATAATAGTGAGTTGACAACCTATTGAGCAAAAGACCTAAAAATAATTATGTTTTGACTTTCTTAGAAAATATGAAATTGTAACTTTAAACAAGAGAGAGAGAGAGAGAGAGATAAGGGTTCATTCCATACAAACTAGGTCATTTCGGGACTAACATATGGTTCAATTTTATTTCAATAATTTGCTTGCGCGTAGGGGTCTTTATACTACAACAATTTCTATTTCAAGCTACTTTCTTACATACTGACTCAAGTTGTAGAAGATGATCAGCTAAATAATCACCTACACGGAAAAAACATCTTTTCTAATAATGTTAACGGAAAGCCCAACGTATCATTTCGTGATTTTTTTTCTGGAGTTTTTCACCAGTGATTAGTATACAAAGTCTTAAATTGATGACCTGTCAACTCATCATTTGATAACATTATATTCCATCTAGCCACATGGCCCTTGATCAGGTAATTATATATGATTACACATCATCAAAGTTAAGTTAAAACAGGTTGTTTTTCCTTCAATGTAATCTAACCCTAACACCAGGGGCGGATCCAGGAATTTTTGCCGAAGAGGGTTTGCCGAGTACCTGAGACAATGTATCTTTTGAGGTGGGGGGGGGGGGGGGGTTGGGGGAGAAAATTTTTGAGAAATACATGGTCACTATCATTATTTTGGCGTATATACTTACACACTGAGATTTTTAAAGAGAGAAATCCAACACCCTGTTTGACATCGATTTTTTATTATGAATTAATACGATGACATTGTGATTGAATTTCATTGATGCAAAGTATTAATTGTTATATCACATATGCCTATATCATTATCTCAGGTTTTGAATGCCCATTCCATACCACCATCTGACCATAAAGGATAAAGCACACGACTGTGACACTTTTCTCATAAAATGGGTTATTTTACAAAATTTGTATGTAGCTGAGTAGGGGGAACCCCTCACACGACCTCCCCCCACCCCCTGGATCCGCCCCTTAACACATTATCCAATTACATACCTTTTACAAGTACAAGCCAGTCTTGAAGGACAATAACAAAGCTTTAAGATCATTCCTATGACAATAAAGGACTACCAAATCATTTTAAGTGTTCATGCACAACTGATAGCATTTTATATTACACCAAATGTAAATTTCATTAGTAAGGATTTGTAAAGAGTAGAGATTGAAATGTAGCTTGATTGAAAGTTGCAGGGGCAGCCATTAGTCCAAAAGGCACTGCATCATACTTTGTGCTAAATACTTTTAGCTCATACATCTGCTCTCCTTTAATTTAACCTTTAACCACATTCAAATGAAACTTGCATCTCCATTCTCCAACCAGAATAATGAATTACTATAAAAACACTTTTGTCTTGCTTTATACATGCATACATGTACCTACTACATGTCAGTTTTAAGCCAACTTCAAGTGTCTTAGTTTTGATCAATAGATTTATATTATGTAACAACTAACATATCGCAACAGTGGTAAACATATAATCACAGAATTATCTTGGACTTGTAGGAGCCTAACTCACTTTTCACAGTTCTGACTTAAAATCAATATAAGCTTGCCAAATTCAGGCGATGAATTCTGCAGAGATTTACATTAATACCCAATTTTTCATTCCCTTAAGTATCATTGAATAACTAAATATCTAGTCTCGTTCAACCAGACCGTGCTTATATCACTGAAGAGTCTGGAGAAATATCAAGTGTCTGGATGAGCAAAAGCATAAAACATCATCAGGCTTGTATATTACTACAATAAGGTAACAAGTCAGTTCCCTATGTATTGAAAATTATTCAAAATTGATAAATCTATTCCTCATATGAATAAAAATAATATTCCCTCAGTTCTTCACAAACAATACATTGACCGAATTCTGAAGTTATATTTTGCCAACAATACAAAAGTACATCAAGGAGCACCCATCATGGTCGATAAACCTACTTATATGTTTCAGAAATGGCAACTGTCAAATAGCAACTAGTTCGAGTGTCACTTTGTGCGTAGGGGTCTTTAGTAATGGGAGAAAACCATATTTCAAACTGTCATTGAGTTCATTGGACGTTGGTTTATCACTCATCTGACTAAACACTGTTTCCTCGCACCACTATGGTTATTTGAGAGCTCAGAGAGAGAGAGAGAAATGGGGTTTAACGTCCACTCGACACAAACTAGGTCATTTCGGGACTAACATATGGTTTTAATTTTATTCAATAATTTGCTTGCGCGTAGGGGTCTTTAGCAGTGGGAGGAAATCAGAGGACCCGGAGAAAAACACACGAGAATTGGACAGGCGACCCTACTCCTTGTCACGTACAACCGGGGATTCGAAACCATGACTGATGACTCAATGACAGGCCTTATGATACAGCGTGCACATGCTGACCATTCAGCCATCCAACCCCCCTAGGTTATTTTGAATATACTAGTATAATAAATTGACACAGAATCAAAGAAATATATTTTCTTGAAGTTGGTGTTGACCCTTTAAAAGTGTCATACTGAAAAATGTATCAACATAATGTAACTGAAGCTTCCAATCAACTCTTTAATTGCAAACTCAGACTAGAAAAAAAATATGTGCCAATGAACACTTTATACCATTAATGGCACTCCATGTTGACTGACGTCAAGTTACTCATACATGACGTGTCAATTAAAGACACAAAGCTTTGGTAAATATGATAACGACGCTATAACCCTTGGAAGAAATTAACGCAAATACTTTCGCTAATTACTAAGACAAAATAATGAGTGATGCATTTAAGTCCTGAAAACCTGTACCTCATTTAAACATCCCTACTTGGTCATACAATGACCTCTGTATACATATTATCCCTTTCATAAAGTAAATTCTAAAGTGAGGTTAATTATGTCACGTATTGATGAGAGTTTAACCGAACCAGACACAAGGAGAAGAAGCAATTACCTCTCAATCACCTGCTAATTATCTACTCCTATAAACTTGTATACATCATCTTAATTCTTAATGAGGTAAACAACTTAAAGTGGGCATCTCCAATTTAGGTTTCTTTTTTTTTTTTCTCACAAAAACATATATGTTAACACAATACCCATTCTCCTGCCGAGTACAGAATGCAGAATATTTCGGATTGTGATAGAAATGGATTTAAAACCTTATGCTAGATTATAATTATTAATTACGTTAGAGGAAATGTATAGTGCTCTCTTATCGGAATACGGTTTCATGAAAAGAAAGTATTTATTGATACTTTGTATTTAAAAATTATGTTTTATCCTTGCTGTACACTTCAGCTAGAATATATGAATATATTTAAATATATTAACGATTTATTTCAGATTGTTACAGCTACTTGAAAAACAACAGGTGGAGAGGTGAAAAAAGTAAGGAGACAATACAAAATTCAATGAACATTCACTTGAAACATTTTAGAATTTCTCTAGATTTATTCATTGGAAGTCGAATAAGAGTACAGAATTCCCCCCCCCCCCCAGTAAATACATGTCAAATCCATCACTATTAAAGATGCATTATGTAAGATTTCGATAAAGAGCCGTCCCTTTTTGTGTAATAGTTCAAAAAGAGATAATGAAAAATGAATATATTGAAAATTGAATTTAGTTATTAATGTTTGAAGTTTTGTAAAGTTAGTCTTGATATTACCAATGTTGTGATAATAAACATTATTTGGCAAAGGTGTTTTAATCCATTCAATATCCAAGCCAGTCAATGGTCTAAACAGTTGATTATGGTTATGTAAATAAATGTCTCAATAATAAATTATATAACAGTCATTTCGGGACTAACATACGGTTCAATTTTATTTCAATAATTGAATTACGAGTAGGGGTCTTTAGCAGTGGGAGGAAACTGTAGGACCCGGAGAAAACCCACGAGGTTGGACAGGTGACCCCACTCCTTGTCACTTACAAGCGGGGAATTGAAACCACGCCAGTCGACTCAATGACAGACCTTATGCTAACCATTCGGCCATTCAACCCCTGTCATGTAAATGTCTAAAAAATAAGTTATATAACATTTTAAGCTAAAAAAAAGACAAGCAATGGATTATAGATTTTGCTCTTACATAATGCATCCGTAGGGAAAATGTAAAAATGCCGTAACCTCTCAAGACACTTGCATCACTGATGGACAATGAATATTTATACAAATCCAAAAACTTTTTATTAATGTCTCTCTCTTAATGCAATATGCCATTAGTGAAATGCAAATAATAACATATTAAAATGTATCCTTAATTCCGTTTTCGATATTCTGACATGTTGACTTGAACCCAAAAAACAAGTGCTGTGTTGAGCAATATCGCAAGTAGGTTAATGTTTATATATTATGATGAACAACAGTGAGTTATGCAACTTTAACCATTGTCTGGAGAAGTTGCCATGCATTACGCAGCCCAATTGATCAATAATGCAATATCCATTTACTTTTATGATTCTGCAGAGTATCATTAAATTGAAGAATAGCAGTATCCAGTTAAATGTATATAATTCGGCGTTACAATGATTTAAGAAATTGGTATAACAGGGGGAAAGACTGGATCTTAAGATGATCTCGGAGGAGAGCTGTTGGCAGTGCTCGATTAATCATTAAGTAAACTAAGCATGTTCTTAGGGGATCATGGGAATGAGGCTACCACAGAATGTCTGCTTTGTTAAATGTCAAATTTAAAATATTTAATATAGAAATTAATTAAGAACTTTCAATTTGTTTTTCGTTTTTTTTTTGTCTTTTCATAATACCGTTACCTGTTTTGTCGCGATTAATAATGATGTGTATAAAATCCCAGAAAAACTCGAGCCATGTGTTCGGCGGTTGTTTATGGTTTATTTTTGTATTACATATATATAGGGGCACCAAAATCTTTTAAGTGCTTAGGCCTCTGTGGGGTCTTAATCCAGTCCTGGCTGTTTTAGACTGAAAATGGGAGAATCTGTGAAATTTGAGGTTGAATATAGTACCTGTGAAAGTAACTTTCCACTTACCTGTCTTATTTTTTCTATAGCTAACGTAAATATATGCGACATGACATATATTTCCTGCCATTTTATACCAGTCTGTATTTGAGCTAGAACAGTGTAACCAAACAAAACTAAAAACGTCAAATAAGCAATCTGAAATGAAACAAAATTTTAAAAAATCTTAAACTATAGTGTAAAAAAAAATCATTATCATACTAAGAAAAAAAAAACCTAACCAGGATGAATAAATATTTTGAAGTTCCTTTTGTTTGAATGATTTTTTTTTTCATTGATAAGGTTGCAGTCAGAATTTCTACAGTGGACTCTGTCACATCCAACATCTGAATACTACGACATTCTGTGAAATCGTACATCATTTTCATGTCCCGATTTATTTCCTTATTACTTCAGCCAAAAAACTTTGAGTAATCTGTATTCTGAATATTCTGAATTACAGCATCAATCAGCCATCCCGTCACATGATTTCCATTGAATCAACACTGTATAATCCGACCTTCAATTGGTGAGTGTGAAGCCACAAAAGATTAACAAACAATTACCAATCAATTATCGGTAAGATTAAAACTCGCTCGCGTAGGTCTTTGTTAATTACTTCGATAATTTTATAATCTCTTTTAAGAGGGCGCTTGGTATTTGATTTTAGTTTCTCGTGTCAAATACAGCGACATTATATAAAAATTGACGTGATGAAGAATGTACAGAAAGGTTTATCCTTTTTAAAGGGAATAACGTTCTGGGGATTCAAAGCTACATTATGATAATACTTTCCTGTTTTCGAAGTTACAATAATACTTCTGTTTTGAGTAAACTGAATATTCCGACACTCTGCGTAATCCGACATATTGTAACGATCCCGTACGATGTCGGATTTGACAGAGTCCACTGTAGTTGTTTCCATCAAATTCAGAGGGTCATAATAATTTAAATTATCAATAGTAATTCGTAGCCCTTTGTGTAAGCCTATAATTGATATAATGGCAAAGTTTATTGTGTTTTTGCAGACTGTGGCCACAAAACATTTTTAAGAGAAAGGTTACCGGTAATCAACTTATAAATTCTTACAGTATGAGCACAGAATTTAGTAACAGGAGCATTGTAGAATTCATAAACTTTCTTTCCCAATCGTAGTGGACTCTTCTTCTTCCGGAATGGTAACTGGGATATGATGCTGGTATCATGGACAACTGTACCATTTTCTTTCGTGGGATTTGTTGCTCCTGGTTGACCCTGGTTAAAACTCGTCTCAAGATCATCTCCAAATTCATTCTAGGGAAGAATATTAAAGGAGATTATAAAAATATTATTTTCATAGCTTTCTTTTGTAGCCATTGATATTTATAGCTAATCCTTATAATATGACAGAATTTTCATTAACTGTCCTATTTTGTTTTACATATAGAACTGACTTCCTTATTTCATGTAAAACATATTTATTCTAAATCTAGATCAGTAAAAACAAAATGTCATCCTTGTATGTGGGCTTTTCTTATTTATATATAAAACCTGTTCTGTTTTTAACAATAACAAAAAAAAATAAAAGTAAAGTCATTTATATCCTCAAAAATGAAGTCATCCTTGTACATATGTTTTTAAATTCATAACTATATTTAAAATACACGTCCTTGTTTAGATAGCCATAAGTCATCTTTGTCTAAAGCCTACACATATATAATCCTCTTCATGACTAGCCCCGTTGGTGAAGAAAAGTACTGGAACAATAACACTCCCAACTGGTTAGTGCTAAATGATAAGGCCAGCTCAATTTTTCGTCATACGTCACGAGATGTAAACAGGGTTAGCGCTAATCCAAACCCTTACCCTAACACTGGACTTAGACCCAATGCTTACCCTAACCCTAACATACAATCTCGCCAACAATCATGTGCCCTAAACTTATTTACATATCAGCGACCTTGACAAAAATTGAGCTGGCCTTAACAAATAGATTTATCCCTCCCATCTACAGTAAAGTCACTTCGAGTAGCAGTGTGACTGTTGAGTCGAAATATTTATATATATTATATATCAAAGGGGCATTAGGTAACATTACATAAAGAGCTGAGCTGGAATTAGACAATGGCAAGAGATGCTATTTCAAGACCAGTTCTTTATCATAATCTGTATCATTTTGTCGTCTATGTATCACTGTAAGTCACTGTAAGACTTTAATCCCCATTTCATTTCATTTTGACGTCTTTGTATCAATACAACATATGATCTTCCAAAAGAAAACCATGACAGCAAAAAGTAAAAAATAAATGTTGTCACATCATCATGCTCCATACGAAATTAACCCCATCACGACATTATATTCAGAACAAATAAAAACAACAAATAGCCAAAATCACTTGTTTCAAGCAAGAAATAATACAAACAACTGGAAAGTTGAAAAGCACAATGGAATAATTTTCTATATTAAAGATACATTATGGAAAATTAGATAAAGAGCTGGCAGTTCTCACATAATTAATAGTTCAAAAGGGAATAGGTAAAGGGAATATGCTGAAAATTTCAGTCAAATTGCTTCACTCTAAGCCAAGAAAACCTTATTTTAAAATCACTGTAGCCTCGATTATCATTGTTCCCGCTGTCATGATAATTAACAAAGTCTCGATTATCCATGTTTGAGGTTAATGGGTGTTGAACAGCAGATCAGATTCAAATCCAATGAAAAATCGGACACATAATATGGCATCGAGAGTTGATTATGTTGTTTTCATGTTAAAAATGTCTAATTAATAGTTTATGTAATATTTCAGGCCTAAAGAAAGATCTTCAATAGGCTGATTTAGCTATTGCATAATGTATGTTTAAAGAGATTTGGGCTGAAAACTTGGTTCATCAAAATCGGAACTGCTCTTTCTTATTAATAATTAGCAGATTGTGACAATAATTGTAGAAAAGAGAGACGGGCATACTATTTAAAAATGCTCTTAAGCTTATCCTTTCAAGGGAAACAACTCTATTCTTCCTCAACATTTAAATGAACAAGTTTATGCTGTGATTTCAGGGTAACGCACGAAAAAACACAGATCATATATCCTTTCAAGGGATACAACTCTATTCTTCACTAACATTTGTATGGACAAGTTTATATGAAGTTAAATAAAATGGAGTTTCACGTTGTACTATACAGCACCAACTGGGCTTGTGAAGATACAGGCAAGTTTTAGTAATGTGATCTCAGAGATACAAGTCCATTCCCCCTTCCCCCTTGCTCCCCCCGCCGACCCCCAAACACAATATCACATATTAACTGTTCAGCTAGAAATCACGCCAAACAACATCAAAATCAACTCGCGCAAAAATAAGCTTTAACGACAAAAGAAAAAGCTAACTCAAGGGTCAATACGGTAGTATTTAGAATTTGTAAACCAAATACAGAATGATGAAAATTTCAAATCAAATACATGCATCAGAAATATTACATTAATAAAAAAAAACCAATAGAGCTTTTGACCAAAAGAGGGACGACAGACTACAGCCTGGTGTGGACAAAAATAAAATTGCATGAACTCATTTACTTACGGCATGACAAGTGCACACAACAGCACGATAAAAACTATAAACATCAACCACCACTCAGGACATTCTAACTAATAATAAAACCTTACTTCAATCACCTGTTCTTCCTCAAACGAGGCATACATATGATCTAATGTACTATCAGCATCTGCTAAATCTTCCAAATGTTCTTCCATTGTCTGCGGCATAAGTTGTAGTTCTTCTTTACTCTTGAATTCTAATAAACCGATTGTAAACGGTATAAATATTCCAAATATCACCTAAAAACAGAGAAATATCATGCAAGTTCAATTCAATCATTACTATACTATAGAGAGATAGAGAGAGATAGAGAGAGAGCTTAACGTTCACTGACACAAACTAGGTCATTTCAGGACTAACACATGTTGAATTTTATTTCATAATTCGCTTGCGCATAGAGGTCTTTAGCAGTGGGAGGAAACCAGACGACCCAGAGAAAACCCACGAGGTTGCACAGGCAACACTAACGAGATGCGATTGTGAGAGAGAGAAATGGGTTTTAATGTTAACTTGAAACAAACTAGGTCATTTCAGGACTTACATATTGTTCAACTTTATTTCAATAGTTCCCTTGCCACGTAGGGGTCTTTAACAGTGGGAGGAAACCACAGGACCTGGAGAAAACCCATGAGGTTGGATAGGTGACCCTACTCTTTGTCACGTACAACCGCAGAAACAAAACCAGGACAGCTGACTCAATGACGGACCTTATGATTCAACGTGCACACGCAAACCATTCGGTCATCCATCCCCTCTTCCCACCCCAACATCCATATGAAATTAATCTGTGATGTATGGACAAACATGGTAGTAGAATATATCAACCAATCCTCATCATTTAAGCATAATCCAGATTAACCATATATTACTATCTAAGGCCCCCCTCAGACCTCGGTGGCGTCCTTACTGTGCTACTGATGGGGGTATAACCGACAGATATACAATTACTTCATGTTTTAACAGTATCTCATTCACCTTAAATGTGGTATTTTTTCTCATTCTGAGACCACCAATCCACAAGTCATTCAGTAGAACCTGACAACATGTATGTGCAATAAATTCACGATGGTTCGCTACCATAGCTAAACTCAGTGATGTCTGTTCACTAAAATTCTTGAGTTCGTATGTTAGTAGTTGTTGTGTATAATCATCGTCTATTTTATAACAATGCTCCAACAATTCTAACGCTAATGTCTGAAAATCTCTGAAAAAATAAGTGATAAGTATATTCAGAAACAATTCACATTTCATAACAGGATTTACCAATCCAATAAATAAATAAATAAATAATATGTAGTAAAAGTTTATCAGAAATGCACAAAATATGCTGCTGCCGTGTCCAAAAGTTTCAATTGTTTTTCAGAAAAATAATCTTATAGTGCATACCCATTTCAAAGCATAGTAGTTTGGTCATTTCTTAATAAGATAATTTGATACTTTGTATAATGCTAGGTTCCCACTATCACGATTTGCGCTACGCATTGAAATCATGGTTTTAATCGTGGAGTAATTGTGATGAACCCATTAGTCTTATAATATATTGAGGTCAGTTGTGGCAATCGTGTTGATCGTATCAAAACGTGTTCAAACGGATCTGCATCTAGCAGATCGTGGACTCAATAGTGACAATCCTATTGTAACGCATCACATGACAGTGGGAACCTAGCATAATAATTTAAAGGCGTTTGACTCATATAACTTATTTAGCCAGAGATGGCTGCATATATATTATACATAATAACAGCTTTATACGGATACCCACTGCACTTTTCTAACAGAGAGAAATGGGGTTTAATGTCCACTCGACACAAACTAGGTCATTTCGGGACTAACACATGGTTCAATTTTATTTCAATAATTCGCTTGCAAGTAGGGGTCTTTAGAAGTGGGAGGAAACCGGAGGACCCGGAGTAAACCCATGAGGTTGGACATGCGACCCTACATCCGGGGAATCGAAACCACGCCAGTTGACTCAATAACAGACCTTATGATACAGTGCAAACGTGCTAACAACCATTCGACCATCCACCCCCTACCCACCCTAACCCCCTGCAGTTTTGAGGTCATAGATCAATATTTATATAATTCTGCATGGAAAAGGAATTAAAGGAACTCATGTTGCTATACACATCACACAGTGAGAAATTTTTAAAAATTTGACTTACTTGGCATATCTCCTGAATTCGGCAGTTAATTCTATTTCTAAATCATCTTGATCTGCTTCATGTGCCATGGCCTTATATAACCTGCATGCTAATAAAGCCTGAATAAAAGAGTATTATAGTATCAAAGTATTTGTAGCTTTTCCAGCAGTTTTAACAATATGTTTTGTGTCTGGCATGTATTACACGACAACTCGGGTATATAACAAGAAAATACTTGTTGAAACGTCATGCTATATGTGTATAAACCAGTGATTGTTTTCCATATAAATTGTGTTGTGTTTTTTATCTCAGGTATCCTTTAGTCATGTTGCTTTTGCAGGAGTTTCTGTATTTAATGTTTCATTTCAAACCATTGTTGACAAAATGTTCAAATTCAGTGAGAATCATCAAAAAATATTGGGAACCTAACTGTTGCGTAGTTTAAAATGGTCCGTCAAGATTAGATAATGAGAGTTGATTTTACAACTGTTTACTTTCACTAGCGGTGTTGAGTAATCAATTACAGAATCTCCCACTAAAACAGCATAACTACACGATACCCCAGTTGTAGTGTTAGCGAATGTCACTGTTATTAATTCAAGAAATCTCTCTTACATATTCAGTTTATTTTTGTATTAAAGTTTTTGTTCGTGATTATGGTTTTCATGGTATTATTATTATTACTATAATTGTTCGATTTATATAGCACCTCATTACACATGAGTGTTTCTAAGTGCATTCACAACAAAACAGTTTAAAAACAAGTTAGTCTTAAGCTCTGGATGAGCCTAACGTTCTGCAGATCATTGGTCACAAAATAGTTTCTAAATACATGCACATAAAGAAACAAACAACAAAACCTAGAAAACTGTTTGAATCAATTTTAAATTATGTTCAATTAAAGATACATGATGTAAGATTTATATAAGGAGCTAGCCTTTCTTGCTATAATGGGTCAAAAATCAATAATGCAAAATGAATATATTGAAAATTTCATTCAAATTACTTCATTCTGAGCGAAGATATTAGCCTTTGAAGGTTTGACAAGATGCGTGCATTGATTGTAATCACAGAACTGGTTGCTGAAGCTTAATCTAGCTTTTTCATTTTTAAATTAAATCATATTTAATATCGGAGTATCCGTTGGCATCGAGAGTTGATTTCGGTCTTGTCATGTTAATAAATGTCTAATTAATAGTTTATGTAACATTTAAGGACAAAAGAAAGACATGCAATAGGCAGATTTTGCTCTTGCATAACTTGTATAAACAGTGACATACTATAAACATCGTTTTTATTTTTGTTACCTTTGCCATGGCCTCTTCACCATGTTGCCACATAAATAGGGCCATCTTCTGTCTTTTCATTAAAACGGCCCATATCATTAAATCATGAAATGGGTATGGGAATAAATCTTCCGCCATCTTGGTATTAACTAGATGTGGTATTGACGTAACAACATTACCTAATGATGCTCCCTGAAAAATTAAGTAACAAGTTATTTAACTATTCCTTTTTCTTGGTAATGGCCATATATATATATAATACAAATGGAAAGATGGACGTACCCAGGTATTATTTCAACACTAATCTTTAGCATACGTAACTACAATAAGCATTGCAAACAATGTAGCTCTTTAATTTAATATTGTGATTTTTTGAGAAAATACATCATTTTCTTTCAAATAGTTTTTTTTTTAAAAAACAATTAATATTTTGCAATTAATATTATCATATCTTTCAAATTTTCACTGCCCACTAGTCAAGTATTTCTTAATAATAGGCATTTATTTCACTGCCAACTAGTGAAGTATTCTTTTATAATAGACATTTATTTCCTGTGACTTTGTCCAAAATATGAAATAACATATGAAATTGATGCATTATGAAAAAAAATAAAAATAATGTGCACTTCACAATTCTGTGAAAGTATAAATGTAATATCTAAATTAAAAAATTCTAAAAAAATAAAATATTATTACATATGAACATATACTAAAATTAATCCATTTGATTAAATTTTGAAGATATTAATAAACTAATTAATTTATATGTGAGAAGAACATGCTATAGATATGTGCATTCATTCTAACTATAAGTTTTAACTGATCCGGACATCAGTGACATTCAGGTTATTTCCAGATTAGACAACAGAATTCGAATGAGAATACATCTATCCAGGGGCGTTGGAACCTGGGTATCAGGGTATACAAATGGTACCCTGCCCTTTTCTGGGGTATACATGTATACCCATGCCCTAATGATGGAAGTTTTCAACCTTTTTACTAGTCTATTCATATTTAAATGATAGATATGTATGATATGAAAATTGTGAATAATCAGGCTTTTGTCTCTTTCTTTATCATGTATTTTAAAGGGTTTGATGTTGGAATTTGGAATGCTAGAGACACTCTTAACAGCGTTCTCGGAATTGACAAATTTCTATCTTTTGGTACCCTGGCCCTCGCGTCGTTCTGGCGCCCCTGCATCTATCTGTACACTGAAAGATAAAATCCTTTTTCCAGGCATGGAATCATATTTATCTCTTTTAAATTAGGGCTTCACTTAATGATTACATCCCCTATATATTGATAGACTTCCTTAGAATGGTCATAAGAGCCTTGTTGCCCTCAGCCTTTAACTGAAACCCACCTTTCAGCTAACTGCTTTATAATAAGGTCTGAGTGCCCCTTCTTACATGTGTCACATATTACAATTCTAAAATGTCAACAACTAACATTATATTTGAGATGTTCAAAAATCACTAAATTATGAGCAGAGCAAACAGTTCTTCGAAAACCAAACTATAATTCAATATCCTAAGATATAATCTTACATACAAAAGAAACTATAAGCTTTAAAACAAAAGAATACATAACAGTTATTTATAAAGATTTATGTGAAAAGATGTGGCAAGTGCATTAAGTCCTATTGCCTTAAATATGGGAAATCTGACTGAACAGAGTAAATGCAGATATGGGGAGACCTCAGAAATTTGTAACATGTCCCAAGAAATCCACAAACATAAAAATGTTTTGGAATCACTGGCTTATATTATTCCGTGATGCAGAGAAGTAGTATACTATAAATCATACGTTCTTTTGTTTTAAAGTCTTCCATGTTTCTAAATGTCGATTTACAATCTTAACTTGATTACATAGCTATTGATCTTAAATCACTGTGAAGAATACAGTGTCAAATATGATGAAGAAAAAGATTTACAGAGAGAGGCGGGCGGGAGTAAGGCATGCAAATACCTCAATCTAAGAATAAAAGAAGGATGGGAAAAAAATGTGCTTGATGCAAAGTAAAATTTAAAAGAAAGACAGATTAAGACTGTTACACAAATACCTGTTTGGGCTGCATTATCAAAAGGAGAAGGAAAGGCTAGTTTACTAAGAATGTCAATTTGTATTTTTGATAACCAAAGACAATCCACACTTAAAAGTGCATATGGCTCTATTCTTTGGAAACTTAAATGGGTCTAAAGCTCATATGAACGTAATAGTAATGTATATAAAATGATCTATATTCAATTTTTAAAAACATTATTGGAACTGAATAATTTTGGGATTGATAATTTTATCAGAAATTCATCTTTCAAAACTTTGCAAAAGATTCAAATTCTCTGAAGTGACAGTGGTTTTAATAATTTCCTGTGATACTATAAAAGCTACTTTGAGTTATAAAGTCAGACCATGCATATTTAGAACACCTTATATACAATTTCTCATTTGAGGAGCTTACAAATTTTTGGCGCATGTTTGTATTAAACATAGTACTTTATCTTAAACTGGAAATCGCTATCTTCATTTGTTTCAAGGCTTTAGCCCAAAGAACATAGATATATACAATGATGTAAATCTCAAAAGTTTTTAAAATATAATTAACATAATTAAATGTATTTGATTTGGAAATGATAGGTTATTCTAGGAAACTCAACTACAATTTCTACTAGACGATAATGATACCTACTCAAGGTTAGGATATTTAATTTTTTTTTTAAAGTAAGATTATATTTTTTGCTACCAAAAAAAAATAAAAATCTAAAAAAAAGACATTGGGAACTTGATAAGACCTCAAAATTAAAAGACTGTCTGCAATCATGCCGGCAGATTTCAATACATAAGTGTCTGCAGAAATGTTTTAAGGACTGTCGTGAACTTGAGGTTGACCATTTCTCTAACTTCAATTGAAAAGATTAGAAACCACACTAGAGGTGTTGGAGGAGGGCTAAATCTATTTGTTAAGGCCAGCTCAAATTTAGTCAAGGATGCTGAGATGTAAATAAGGTTAGGGCATGTGATTGTTGGTGAGATTGTAGGTTAGGCTTAGGATAAGCATTGGGTCTTGGTCCAGGGTTATGGTTGGTATCCACGCTAGCCCCGTTTACATCTCGTGACCTATGACGAAAAATTGAGCTGGCCTTATCATTTAGCACTAACCATTGGAGAAGGGACATGCAGGCAACCCTGTTTTAATCATACTAAATAGTAAAGTTTTATTATCTAAATAAGATAAAAAAAAAAGTAAGACCAGACCTACAAGAGTTTAACAATTAAATGTTAATATATAAATAAGAAGAAACCAAAGTATGTAAAAGTTTATAAAAAGGCTCAACAAGTTAAAATTGAAGAAAATGAACAAACAAATGTAAAATGACTTAATTTATTACCCTACCTCTGACTCGCAAAGCTACAAGGGAAGTCAGAAGACAACATCAAAACCCATGCAAAATATTCAATTGGATAGAAAACAAAATATTGTCTTGTGACAGGTAAATATCTTAAAAACAATATTGTAATCATATTATTTTGGACTCTGAATGTCTGTTTGGATAAAGGCCTAGATGTAACAATGTCAGACTTTCCTGACATTTTCAACTTAGAGAGTGAGAGAAATGGGGGTTTAACGTCCACTTGACATAAACTAGGTTATTTTGGAACTAACACATGGTTCAATTTTTATTTCAATAATTCACTTGCCGGTAGGGGTCTTTAGCAGTGGCAGAAAACCCACGAGGTTGAACAGACGACCCAACTCCTTGTCACGTAAACGCAGGGTATCGAAACCATGCCACTTGACTCAATGAGAAACCTTGCGATTCAATGCACATGCGTTAACCATTCTGCCACCCAACCCCCCTTTTTCTAATGTCAGACATGTCTTAACAAGCCAACAGTGAGGCTGATGTCCCCCGCCGAAATCCGCAAATAAATAGATGCCACATATTAATTAATCGCACATCTATTTTTTTCAAAAGTATCGAGCAATCAAACTGTTTATCAACTATACACTAAATTTCATCACTCTCTATCAGACAGAATCAAAGTTATATTGTCCCAAAGCATCGACCAAGGAAATTGCTTATCTCTGCTTAGCTTGAGATCGATATGTTAATCATTGAACTCAGTCAAGACGAACATCTACATCAAGTTTAAACATTCTACCTCAATTAGAAGCAGTGTGAACATTTTAGCTCAATTAGAAGGAGAGTTATTGTGTTCCGAAGTCTCGGCCAATCAAATTGCTTATCGCTCTGCTTACCCTGAGCAGAAAATGCTCATCATCGAACTTAGTCAAGGTACTGATGTAATAAAACTATACACCAAGTTTAATCACTCTCACTTAATTAGAACTAAAGTTATCGTGTCCCAAAGCATCAACCAATCAAATTGCTTATCTCTGCTTACACTAAGCAGAAAATGCTCATCTTCGAACTCCATCAAAGCATTGACCTAATATACACCCACACCAAGTTTGAACATTCTAGGTCAATTAGAAGGAGAGTTATTGTGTCCCAAAAAGTGTGACGGACAGACAGACGGACGGACAGGCAGGCGGACAGACAGACAGACGGACGAACCCATTTTAATAGTCCCCTGCTTTCTTCAAAAGGCGGGGGACAACTAAAGTTATCGTGTCCCAAAGCATCAACCAATCAAATTGCTTATCTCTGCTTACCCTAAGCGGAAAATGCTCATCTTCGAACTCCATCAAGGCATTGACCTAATCAACACATACACCAAGTTTGAACATTCTAGCTCAATTAGGAAGAGAGTTATCGTGCCCCAAAGTATCAACCAATCAAATTGCTTATCTCTGCTTACCCTAAGCGGAAAATGCTCATCTTCGAACTCCATCAAGGCATTGACCTAATAAACACATACACCAAGTTTGAACATTCTAGCTCAATTAAAAGTTATCGTGTCCCAAAGCATCAACCAATCAAATTGCTTATCTCTGCTTACCCTAAGCGGAAAATGCTCATCTTCGAACTCCATCAAGGCATTGACCTAATCAACACATACACCAAGTTTGAACATTTTAGCCCAATTAGGAAGAGAGTTATCGTGTCCCAAAGCATCAACCAATCAAATTGCTTATCTCTGCTTACCCTAAGCGGAAAATGCTCATCTTCGAACTCCATCAAGGCATTGACCTAATAAACACATACACCAAGTTTGAACATTCTAGCTCAATTAGGAAGAGAGTTATTGTGTCCCAAAAAGTGTGACGGACAGACAGACGGACAGACAGACAGACGGACGAACCCATTTTAATAGTCCCCTGCTTTCTTCGAAAGGCGGGGGACAATAATATCGATAAAAACACAGAAAAAAGACAAATTTGTGCCGGACAATATGACAGGCGCCAGAGGGATTGTGGCTGACAAAACCTGAATTAGTGCCTGACAGGTGCCTTATATCCAGGCTTGGTCTTTGTATAACTCATATCTCTCTTATAGCTCTCCAAAATTGATTAAAAAAAAAACAATTGTTTTTGAATTTCGATATTTGGGAGTCATTTCAGAGTCCAATTATCTGATTACATGCGTGTGATAACAAACATTAAAATTCATTAAATGAAAAAAAAAAGAAGAATATATTTCATAATTTACTAAAATTCAGCTTGATCTGTATCACACTTTATATGTACATATATATACTTTAAAAAAACACTGTAAATATCATATTGTAAATTGATCAGTTGCTCTTAATGCATGCTAATGCAGAGATAGCACAGAGTAGAATCAAAAATTTATATCATGCGATCCACTAGTCAAATATACACGCATTCCCATAGTTTAATTATCTTTAGGCATTCTAAAAGTTCAATTATAATTCAGCCATTTAAAACTTTAATTATCTTTAGGCATTATAAAAATTCATATATAATTCAGCCATTTAAAACTTTAATTATCTTTAGGCATTATAAAAATTCATATATAATTCAGTCATTTAAAACTTCAATTATCTTTTGGCATTCTAAAATTACAATTATATTTCAGCTGTTTAAAACTCTAATTATCTTTAGGCATTATAAAAATTCATATATAATTCAGTCATTTAAAACTTCAATTATCTTTTGGCATTCTAAAATTACAATTATATTTCAGCTGTTTAAAACTCTAATTATCTTTAGGCATTATAAAAATTCATATATAATTCAGCCATTTAAAACTTTAATTATCTTTAGGCATTATAAAAATTCATATATAATTCTGTCATTTAAAACTTCAATTATCTTTTGGCATTCTAAAATTACAATTATATTTCAGCTGTTTAAAACTCTAATTATCTTTAGGCATTATAAAAATTCATATATAATTCAGTCATTTAAAACTTCAATTATCTTTTGGCATTCTAAAATTACAATTATATTTCAGCTGTTTAAAACTCTAATTATCTTTAGGCATTATAAAAATTCATATATAATTCAGTCATTTAAAACTTCAATTATCTTTTGGCATTCTAAAATTACAATTATATTTCAGCCGTCTAAAACTTTAATTATCTTTAGGCATTCTAAAAGTACAATTATATTTCAGCCGTTTAAAACTCTAATTATTTTTAAGCCTTCTAAAAGTTCAATTATAATTCAGTCATTTAAAACTTTAATTATATTTAGGCATTTTAAAACTGAAACCATCTTTAGGCATAATATCGAGAGGGGACATTTTAATAGATTATTCTTAAAAGTTACATATTTGGAAGAAATGTTCAAAAGTTTCAGGAATTATTGTTTACCTACAGAAATAATAATTTTTTGACAAAGCAATCGTGAATTTTTTAAAATAAGATAAACTGTTTATAAAATCGTAAAGCTTTGTGAAACAGACATAATTTGAGATCTTCAGTTGACCGAAAAAGGACAAGAATAATCGCTTATATTATTGAAACAAGTTTTAAAATTATGTATAATATATTTCAGCCCTTAATCGTCAATAATTTAAAAAAGAAATACAACTCTGGTGTTTTAATATTTAGACAATTGCTTTAATAATATCGATTAATCTAAATTATCTTTCAACACCTTCTGCTATAAAAAAATCCAAAATGTCAAGACTAGCAATTGTACCTTGTGACAAGTAACTCTGTGGATTCAACAGAAGAATAACACATGCTCGGAAGTCTTTTGAACATTTGGATGATTGCTTTAATAATATCGACTGATCTAACATTATCTTTTAACACCTTTTGCTATAAAAATTCAAAATATCAAGACTAGCAATTGTTCATTGTGACAAGTATTTGAGGTCGAAAAAATGGTAGCGTATCTTATATTGTGAATACATCCCAAAGAAAATCCTAGTGCATGACACAAACAAAACAAAATTATAGTATTTGTCACCATTACTTACATTTTGTTTTAAGGCGTAGTATTTTTGTCGGAATCTTTTACGACAGTATGATGATCTGAAAGCTCCACCCATCAAATGTTGAACAACCACGCCAACATCAGGTAGAGTTACGCGATAACTAGAATGTTGATGCTAAAAATAGGAAAATGATAACAAATTTCAATAATGACATAAAGGTGGAAGCCAAGGTGGCTCAGTGGGTAAGTCGTTAGCTCGCTAACCTGAAGGTCCTGTGTTCCATCCCTGTGCTGGCTGAGAAAGTTGATCAGGATTTTCCTGCAATTTATCCTCCTTGTCTCTGGTGCCAAACCGAAGGCCTGGCAAGGGACAACGTAAAGGCGTGCACGTAAAAGATCCCTTGCCAGTTGAAATTTGATATATGCCCAAGCAAAATTCCCCTCATTCATAGCCCACTGTATGGTGTATACCCGTCTTCATTAGAACAGTAGGACCTTAAACTCCATTTCATTTATTTTCGATGGGTCATTACAAGGTATAGCAGTAGTGCTCCTGATACATTTGATGCTTCATGAATATATTATAATTTTTAAGAATTTGCCATGATATTCATTCAAAAGATATTGAAAAATGTGAGATAATTTACCTTGCATATATCTCTGAAAAGAAATCGTAAGGTATTGGACGGTCCTTGTCTCTGAAAGATGAAAATTAAACAGGATTAAACATGGATTTAAGGAACAGTTGTCACTTGTACCATTTCAAACTATAGACAATACTGATTAAATACAGACAGAGGCCATTGCAGCTTATTACAATACAGTCGTAAAATCCTACTGACAACACTGAACAGAGTTGGATTCAATGATGGTACAGTGGACAACATTACCATAGAACTACATTACCGTGGACAACATTACCGTGATATCTAATGAAAGTACAGTGGACAACATTACCGTGAGATCTAATGAAAGTACAGTGAACAACATTACCATAGAACTAATGGGATCTAATGAAATTACAGTGGACAATATTACCATAGAACTGAGTGAGATCTAATGAAAGTAGTGAACAACATTACCATTGAACTGAGTGGCATCTAATGAAAGTACAGTGGAAAATATTACCACAGAACTGAGTGGGATCTAATGAAAGTACAGTGGACAATATTACCATGGAACTGAGTGGGATCTAATGAAAGTACAGTGGACAACATTACTATAGAACAGTGGAATCCCATGAAAGTACAATGAACAATATTACCATGGAACTGAGTGGGATCTAATGAAATGACAGTGAACAACATTACCATGGAACTGAGTGGCATCTAATGAAAGTACAGTGGACAATATTACCACAGAACTAAGCGAGATCTAATGCAAGTACAGTGGACAACACTACCCTAAAATTGAGTGAGATCTAATTAAAGTACAGTGGACAACACTACCATAGAACTGAGTGAGATCTAATTAAAGTACAGTAAACAATATTACCCTGGAACTGAGTGGGATCTATTGAAAGTACAGATGGCAGTGTTACTATAGAACAGTGGAATCCCATGACAGTACAGCAGACTACATTATTATAGACAGGAGTGGGATCCAATCAACATTACCACATGGGATCCAATGAAATTACAGCAGACAAGACGGATATGATTACCATGCCACACAGTGGAATCCTACAGAAGTACAGTAAGAGTGATCCAATACACAACATTGTGTAAGACTCTTCCAGATGATTTATCACAAGAACAAATAATCAAATAATATACTTACAACACAAGGTACAATTTTTTTGGATACACAATTACTAAGCGATATTTCAATGAGGATATTTGATTGTTATTTTTGTTGCATATTAACTCAGTAATTGTGTATCCATAAAATTGTACCTTGTGTTAATATGTTCAATTACTAAATGCCAATCAAAGAAGATATACTTACAGTATTATAGAGTTCTTCTAATCGTGATATAGTTAGAAATGTGTGCATACTGACACCATTTTCTAATAATAATTTAACAAAGTCCACTCTATCATTGATTAATGCATCCATCATAGCTTGTTCTAGAGAACCCTCCTGGAATAAACAACAAAAAAATAGGACTCATGCGGTGTGAACCAATCTGGGGAGTTATTTGTGCATTTCAAAAATGAGTTCCAAAATCAATGTAATAAAAGATCACAAGTACCAGATGCTGAAGTGTTCATAAGGAAACTCAAGGCATCAACTCCAAAACAGGATATAGGGGTATCGATTGCAGATGGAGCCTTATGAATGTTGTTCCAGTGTTTTAAATTTGCTGTGCTATAGACCTTAGTTATGTGCCTTAGTTATTTGTGCATTTCAAAAATGAGTTCCAAAATCAATGTAATAAAAGATCACAAGTACCAGATGCTGAAGTGTTCATAAGGAAACTCAAGGCATCAACTCCAAAACAGGATATAGGGGTATCGATTGCAGATGGAGCCTTATGAATGTTGTTCCAGTGTTTTAAATTTGCTGTGCTATAGACCTTAGTTATGTGCCTTATTTTGCTATGGGTCCAATCTGACAATTATGTAGGCATGTGAGTTAGTTCAAGAGAATAACCACAACAGAGAAACAAAAAGACCTCATGTAAAATTCACAAGAAAACAAAAATTCATAAAGCAAAACTTACTGGCCACTCTTGTCCATAAACAAAAATATGACTTCTGGCTATATCGACTCTATCCCAGGTCAGGGCTAAACTTAGTTGATCAGGAGCACTGGCATTCGTCCCTAAAATTAGACCTAAATCATTCAGTCATAAAAGAATAATTCAAAAGGTAATCGGGTATAAACATACTATAAATTTGGGGGAATAATTTTGCAAATACATAAAACTCTTCATAATTGACAAAAGCTTTTCCAATAACTAGGAGCAACTCTTTAGATTCCAAAAGTAGATATTTTGACAGTACAAAATATCTGCCTTTTTCACTAGTCTTTTCTTTAAGACTATTTTGAGGGGTTGACGGACATGCTAGAATCATAAAGATAAGTCCTAGTTAGTTTTTTTTGAGTTTCTGAACCACTTAAATTTGAGAGATTTACAGAGCTTATACAAAACATTAGCTGTAAGGGTTATATGTGAGTCAAAACAACTTCCAAAGTTATGAAGTGTTTCAGTGGTTGTAAGTAACAGTCACAATGTCTAGAAAGGTTATATGTAACATTCAAAACAACATCTAGAGTTATGAAGTGCTACAAAGGTTATAAGTAACAGTCATAATATCTAGAGAGGTTATACATTCAAAACAACATCTAGAGTTGTGAAGTGCTACAAAGGTTATAAGTAACAGTCACAATATCTAGAGAGGTTACTGAGGTTATATCTACAGAGGTTACAAATAACATTCAAAACAAGATCTAGAGTTATGAAGTGTTACAAAGATTATAAGTAACAGTCACAATACCTAGAAAAGTTACTGAGGATATATCTAACAGTTAGAACTGCAAAGTGCTACAGAGGTTATAAATCTAGAGAGGATACAGATGCTATAAGTAACAATTTCTCAAGTTATGAAGTGTTACAAAGGTTATAAGTAACAGTCACAATATCTAGAGAGGTTATAAATAACCGTCACCACAACATCTAGAGCTGTGAAGTGTTACAGAGGTTATAAGTAACAGTCAGAACAACATCTAGAGCCGTGAAGTGTTACAGAAATTATAAGTAACAGTCAGAACAACATCTAGAGCCGTGAAGTGTTACAGAAGTTATAAGTAACAGTTACCACAACATCTAGAGCTGTGAAGTGTTACAGAGGTTATAAGTAACAGTCAGAACAACATCTAGAGCCGTGAAGTGTTACAGAAGTTATAAGTAACAGTTACCACAACATCTAGAGCCGTGAAGTGTTACAGAAGTTATAAGTAACAGTTACCACAACATCTAGAGCTGTGAAGTGTTACAGAGGTTATAAGTAACAGTTAGTACAACATCTAGAGTTGCAATGCACGTGAATGTAAATCAAGTAACAAACCTTTTAATAAAGCTGTTAAGATAGCTAGATCTATATCTTGATTTCCTTCGCCCATTCGAAATACAGTTATCTGTAATAATACAAAATAATACAATACCAACATTTCAGTTATTATCAATAAGACAAAGCGGGAGAGAATGGGCCTAATATCAGCTCAACCTGACCCGTATCATTCGGGTAAATAATTAACCAGATTTCAGGGGGAGGAAACCAGGGAAAACTCAAGAGATTAGGTAGGCCAAGCCACTTGAAGTCTAGGTGGAAACCCCAGTATGAGGGCCTTGTGCAGAAAAGTAGGACCACTCGGGCCCGCCCAAGTCATATTTATTATACCATATGTCAAGTACTTCTATAAAATATCAATGGCTCAAGATGAATTATTCCCAGATAAGAAGTCATGGTATATAAAATACAAAATAACAAAATCTGGACCCAGTTCAAAGGGGATACTCGATTAAATGTCCGAGAATTCAATTCTCTCAATCCCAAAAATAGTGACAATCGATTGAAAAGTCTGACAGCTGAAACATATCTGTCACGATTCTACTCTCACCACCTCCGTTTTCGGGAATGACAGAATTGTGACAGGACCGAATTCTGTTTCACTCGATTGCATTTCTGTCAATTCAGACATTCTGAACTGACAATCCAGCATCGCCAATGTGTTGCTGATGTGTCAAGGGATATAACTCTTCTCAGTCAATCTATCACATTAATGGGTAGTTTGGATAGATTAAGAGTTCTTCTTATACAAAGGTCTACAAAGAACATGCCACTGAGTGCCTTCAGCTAAGATTGCAATAAAAACAATTATGTAGAAAAATCTTATATAAATATATACCATTCTAAAAGTGTGTCAAGGGAGACAACTCTTCACATTATCTCATTAACGGGAAGCATTACTCGACAATATGTATTTAAAAATAACTCACTTTTAATAGTGCTATCAACCTGAGGAAATTGCTTTATTGGTTACCATGGGATTTGGGAATTTAATTTTAAACTTACAAAGAATTGTTCTCTGAAAGTATCCAATACAGAAGCTTGGAACTTTTTTTAAAATGTTCCTAGGACATTTCACTGTACAATTATCTATATAGCGTTGCTATTGGGTCCTTTCATGTCATGCTATATCACCAGAAAAATTAATTATGAAACATTTCGCTTGACTGATAAACTTCAAATGTCAATTTACTACTGGCATAGAATTAATAATACTAAGTTATAGGTGTGAGTTTCAAACAGATTGGTTGTTAACTTTAAGAGAACGATTCATTGTAAGCATAAAAACAAAATTCCACATTTCCATAGTAACTAATAATGCAAATTAGCCTTTGTTTTTGCTATTGGGATAATTCCTGAAAATATCATGTCAAAATCACTATTAGAAATGAGTTTTCTTAAAATTCATATTGTCGAGTAGAGCCTCTGTTAATATAGCCAGCCAATCTGATTAAAAAAAAGATCCAATTTCGCTTTGTTTTTTAAAGTTCCAAATTTCGTTTTACTTGTCTTTACTACACTTGAATCTGGAAGAGTTGTTATATAACCCGCCTTCTGGATGATGTGTGAGGTTAACCAATGAAACGGTCTGTCACGGAACTGTGGGTAACCCACTAGAAACATAAACACTGATTGGTTAATCAAATGCCAGACGTCATAGGGTCAAACGCCGCTCGCATGACCCCTGACACGACCTTACACCACAACCTGTCAGATCTTCATGTAGTAGATAGAGGCCATCGAACGTATAAAAAAAATAAAATGAAATATAGATCTGTATTTTAATCAGATTGGTAGCCATCTAGAATGAAAGCATGTTATATTGTATAATTACTTACCAATTCTTTCTTTTTGACACATAACATAAGTTCTATAAAGAGTTTTTCTGCCTGTTCTGCTGTGTATTGAAATGTCTTCTGTATAGTTAAGATTAGTTGATCTCTTAGACTTTCAGGCATAGTTCTAAAACAAATAAACCATTGAAATAGTTACAAACTAATATTCACATAAAGAAAGAGGAATAACCTTAATAGACTGAAAGAAATATGATGCTATACATCTATTATTATTTTCACATATATCTCACTGGCATACTGGATAATCTATTCTTTGTCACATACATTTGTGCAAACTGGATAATCTATTCTTTGTCACATACATCTGTGCATACTGGATAAACTAATCTTTGTCACATACATTTGTGGGAATGAACTTGCTTACACAACAGACACATGATCTACAATACAAATTTTTGGACTGTTGTCCACTGGCTCCACCCCTTTGACTAACAGGGAATGGATTTGTATAGCACATTTTGTCATCCAATCTGAATGACTATGCATGCTTTCCTTGTCAGTCTTGGCAATGTTTAATGTCCACATGACACAAAGTAGGTCATTTTGGGACTAACACTTGGTTCAATTTTATTTCAATAATTTGCTTGCGTGTTGGGGTATTTAGCAATGGGAGGAAACCGGAGGACCAAGAGAATACCCACAAGGTTGGACAGGTGACCCTACTCCTTGTCATGTACAACTTTGGGAATCAAAACCACGCCAGTTGACTCAATGACAGACCTTATGATACAGCGTGCAAGTGCTAACCATTCGGCCATCCAACTCTCCAGGTAACAAGATAATTAGGTAATGAGATGAGGTAACGACGTAAAATAACAAACCCGTCATCACTGGTATATTTATGACTGAAAGCCAGTAAATCAGCTGCTCTTCCGCTACCATCACAGACAACTACAGGAACAGGTGGCGTGTCTGTCACATATTCTAATACCGATCTTATAGTATTAGCTCCTCCCTCTAATACCACACATATCACTGGTACACCTCTACCTTTAAAACCACTAGCTGTAAAGATATAACAATAACAATAATCCAATATCTCATGATAGGCTTTTGGGATATGTGTGATAGACTTGACATAAAATAAATGATGAAGCATATTCAAAATAAAATAAACAATATATTAAAAATGATAAAGATGAACCTTAGTTTTTCGTTTCTTTGCAACAACTACCTGCTTATCGTTGATAGACACCTGCACCCCCAACCCCGAATCTCCCACCCCCACAAAACTGGCATCTAAACCAGCACCATACACATGGCTCTCTCCTCAATAAAAACCACCGAATATGTGAAAAAATACAATAAACTTACTAATACATATTTTTTGCTGGCAGATGAATTTTTCGAGTTTTTTCCTGTAAAGAATATCTCCTCCGTATTTTCCTACGGTACCATTATCGACCAGCATAAAATATGAATGATTACTATTAAGGACGGCAGAGTTACTCTTCCCTGATGATACACAATGGTATGGCACTACAATCTGAAATGAGAATATGACAGATATTATCTCATACTTTCTTGAAAGTGAACAAACTACCATTCATCCATTTACACTTAATAAATTCAAATCTGTCTGAATTATATTATTAGAGACAAGTGTATTATGTGCAATGAGCACGTTTTGCATATTCCTGAAGCAACGACCATGAGTTTTACAACATCTAGACATTGCTAGACTGGTTTGCAATTCCCAAACTTATAGCTATGTTGTCTTCCTTTACCGCAGACACGTGATGTCCAATCAGATGTTGTGACACAAACACACTCAAATCAAACAAGGTGACCTCCACGAAAACTTGACATTAAACCAACCTTGAACTTTGCAACTCGATTATCACAGGTGGACATTTTACCTGCTTGAGGAATTTGACAGGCCACCAGCTGGGTCAGTAGCTAATCAAAATTAGTGCCAAAATATGCAGGGTATTGCGTAAAGGGTTTGATAAGATTTACAAAGTTAAAGCTAGATCAAGCTTTCTATCAAAGATGCACGTTTTGTGCATAGCACTTTATAAATGGACATATTATTATTAGTATTATCAATGAAATCAGTGGCATGCATAGGTTTGGTAATGCTTGGATCCAACTTCTTGATTGTATATCCCCATGACTCAAAAAGAGAACCTTGAACTCAGAAATGTGAGAAAGAATGACACTATAAATATACTATTCAAAAAAAAGTAGGGGATATTTGATTTTTAAGTGTTATTAAAGTCACCTAATGAAACTGACGAAGAAACAAATGACAAAATGAAATGAAGTTCACATTCATCGATTTATTCCAAATGATCGTTAGACTAAGTAAGGCACAGACTGACCATTATAAGGGTAAAATGATACCCGGGGTCAAACAGCAAAGTTACCACAGCATCACAACCAAGTCAGTAACGGGTAAATCCTCCTCTGTTTGCCAAACAAGCATTGATCCGACGTGGCATACTCCTAATGAGACGTCTAAGGTCATTTTGGTCCAGATTGTCCCATTCCTGTTGCAACGCAGCAGCAAGTTCTTGGACATTGGCAGGACGTTGTTGACGTTGACGTAACCTCTGTCCAAGCATGTCCCAGACATGCTCGATGGGGGAGAGGTCGGGACTCAGTGCTGGCCAAGGTAATGTGGTGATGTTCTGTTGTTGGAGGTAACCTGTAACGATCCTGGCCCTGTGACATCTTGCGTTGTCATCCTGGAAGATGAAACGGCGGCCATGACGTCGTGCGAACGGCACAACATGGACTGCCAAGATGTTGTCCCGGTAGTACTGGCCTGTAACACGCCCTGCAACAACATGTAAAGCCGTTCTTCCAGCAACAGTGATGCCTCCCCACACCATAACAGAACCACCCCCAAATCGATCATGTCTGATGACGTTAACGTCTTGGAAGCGCTCGTTTCGACGATGCCACACCCTCCTACGTCTGTCCAAAAAATCAACAGTGAACCTTGACTCATCTGAAAACATCACATTGCTCCAGCGTCGATTATCCCAGTGTTGACGATCCCTACACCAACGACGTCTTGCCTGAATGTGATGATCTCTCAAACAAGGGATCACGCGAGGACGTCGGGCGCGAAGGTGACCCCTATGCAGTCGATTCCGAATCGTCTGGCCACTCACTCTCATACCAGTGTCTGTTTGAAGACGAGCGCTGATCTGATTTGCTGTGATGACACGATTTCTCAAGGCCAAGGTACGGATAAATCGATCCTGGGCTTGAGTTGTCGCCCTTGGTCGACCTGAGCGTGGTCTGTCCTGTACAGATTGTGTATCACGGTATCTGGACCATAGCCTGCTTATGACAGACTGAGAAACATTCATCGTCCGCGCCACAACCGCCTGTGTTGTGCCGATCTGTAGCATGCCAAGGGCACGTAACCTTTCATTTTGGGTAAGCCGAAGCATATCAAAATTTGTTTTCTGGTCACTAAAACAATTAAACTGATGTTTCCACCCTGGAATTCAATGCCACAATGACTGTAACATTCAAAGTCAGAGTCGTGCAAATCTTGGGTTGGACCCCCATGATGATCCTAAGCATCACCTGCATTCCATGCGGTAGCTATTGGTGCGTTTGGCCGTCACATGTAACTGGAAATGTTTCTTCTGTTAGGTTCTATAGTGACTTTTTTCGTAGTCATTTGCATATTTTAGTATTATGCCCCCAAAATCAAATATCCCCTACTTTTTTTGAATAGTATATGTTAAAAGAGGAGATGTATTATTTGAAAGATTGACAAAGCATCCAAAACCTGAACATTTGAATTTAATTGAATATTTGAACAGCATGTGAATAACAAGCACTGTCAATGATATCATCAATAGTAGGCCTGGGCAACTCTGTCTAAAGCTAGTAAAAGAATTATACATATAAATAGAAACATTTGCCAGACATCTATATTGAAGTTATATTACTTGTGTATATTGGTTTGCATCCTCAAAAAATGAGGTAATGACTGTAAAAAGCATCTCTAACACTTACATCACGACCAATAAGGTCTTCTCTGTTCTCCACAACACCCCATGGTGCAATACCAATTGCCACAACCTTATTTTTAGCTTTAGTTGTTCTATCACTGATAGCATCACCAACATGACGAGTTACACCTATAAAAATATATTCAATAAATCATTAATAACACAGTCTATCTGTTTGAGATTGTCTAAAAGAGCACCAATGCTCAACGGAAACAAACTTATTTTTTAGCTTTAGTTGTCCTATCACTGATAGCATCACCAACATGACGAGTTACACAAAAATATATTCAATAAATCATTAATAACACAGTCTATCTGTTTGAGATTGTCAAAAAGAACACCAAAGCTCAAAAGTAAAGCAACCAATCTTCGAACAAGTGATTATGAAGAACATTTACTTCTACTCTATTTCTTTTATGGGAATGTGCATCTGTTGCTAATGAATCTCTGTATTGTCTGTTTGATGCAGTTATCGATCAAGCTCTCAAAAGAAACTCGTAAAATTGTGAGAAATTGTATTTTTGTTCCGAAAGCAAACTGGACCCACAGTCAATCTTACACAATACACAACAGACATGATAAAAGGGATACCTTCGTAATTGGGGAATCTGTATGCATATGAATATTCATTTTAAAATCAGTCCTTGAAGATTAGTTGTCTCTATGACGACACCAATCACTATCTCCCTCTGATTTATTTACATGTATAACAATTATTACGATCTCTGGCAACTTGACAAAAGGCATGTCAATTTAACTTGCAATGGTGTATGACAAGAATATTCATTGTAGAATCTGTTTATAATGATAGGTTGTCTCCATGACTATACCTGAAACAATTTTCTCCATGTTAGCCGCATGTCTACGTGAAGAAAAAGTCGTTATGACACATTATGTTAATATGTCCATATCTAAGAGTGGGAGTGTCAGAATCTATTTATAGCAATGACAGATGAAGAGACAGAAATGAGGTTAAACGCTCTTGGACAATAACTAGGTCATTTTTGTACTAATATATAGTACAATTCTATTTCAATAATTAGTTTCTGCATTAGGGGGGTGGGAGGAAACCGAAGGATCAGGAAAAAACGATCGTCGGGAATACTAATGACAATCTGGAGGCAATTGCGTCTGCGACGATAAAATATTTAATCGCTACACAGAAACATTCCTCTTCGAGTTCGCTTGTACAAACCCCTTCTTTCCCAGTTTCAATTTTCCTGACAGTTAAGAGCGTGATCAGAACTCATGATATCCTATATTCGTTTTCAAACTAATAGTAATACCATCAGGAGTAATTAGTGTTCCTATAAATTTCTATTTTAGAAACCAAACAAACCATTACGATAGTCCTGTATCTGATTGTATAATATCAGAAACGGGAATATTTCTATTGTAACAAGAATTCTTCTACTAAAATTTCAGATAAAATATTAATAATATTCTTTTGATTTATGTGACAAATATAGAATCTGCCTGCAGTACATTGATGTCATACAGAGAATTTATCCATTAAATGTGTATTTCATCATTACAATGGAAATTTATAAAAAAATTTAAAAAAAAATATAATAATAATATCCTTTATAAAGCGTGTTAATACTGAAGAAAACAGTTTCTTGAGCGCTTTATACATCTACCTACATGTTGGGGCCTGTTTCACGAAATTTTAACGAAGATAAAATTCAAATTTCAGTAATTTGATTGGATAATATTAGATTGTTTTTAGTGCTTAGCGAATCAAAATTGAAGTATCTACTAAAATTTGGATTTTATCTTTAGTTCAGTTTTTGAGTAACGGGTCCCAGGTTATTATTTAGAGTTGCGGAAATAGCTAGCGTAAGTGTGTAATTCACTGGAATAAATCTAGAATCTAATAGGCATGTTTGGTTTATAGATTACTGTCAAGAAGGCAGTAAAAATCTGCTGGGATGCACAAAAAACCAAATAACTAGCCTAAAATTTAAACACCTAATAAAAATTAATCACTGGGATCAATTCTAGTTGGTCGATATCAAAACTAAACAGCTTTTATTCAAATTGACAATAGTACAAAACCATGTGTTATTTGTTCATTCTTGCTGAGTTTTATAACTTTTCAGCTAGAGGGCGATCTATAATTATCTTACAGATTCGATTTTGTACTAAAATCAAAGCACCTTATATAAATTAATCCCTGGGATCAATTCTAGTTGGTCGATATCAAAACTAAATGGTTTTTATTCAAATTGACAGTAATACAAAACCATGTGGTATTTGTTCATTCTCACTGAGTTGTATAACTTGTCAGCTAGCTAGAGGGCCATCTATTATCCAACAGATTAGATTTTGGACAATTTCTCCATCCCAGATGCTTGCTACAACTGTAAATGTCTCAAAAAAAATATAATTGACACAATATTATTATCTGATTTTCAAATTCTATCACGTCAAAAGATCTATTATATGCATACCAGTGTAAAGAGAGAGAGACAAATGGGGTTTAACGTCCACTTGACACAAACTAGGTCATTTTGGGACTAACATATGGTTCAATTCTATTTCATTAATTCACTTGCGTGTAGGGGTCTTTAGCAGTGGGAGGAAACCGGAGGACCTGGAGAAAACCCACGAGGTTGGACAGGCGACCCTGCTCCTTGTCACATACAACTGGGGAATCGTAACCATGCCAGTTAACTCAATGACAGACTTTAAGATACAGCACGCACGCACTAACCATTCGGCCATCCAACCTCCCGCATACCAGTGTAAAAGCTGGGATTTGAAATATACAAATGATACGAATTCAAGAGAATTAAGTGCAGAGACTGATGTCCCATGGACATAACTTCCTCATACATTATATACATCATAAAATCTATTTCTAACATCGTTGTATATATTAACATTGAAAAATAGCATTTTGCCTCGAGTCAAATTGTCACATTGTTTCATTCTAGTAATGATTTTACAGGAAGCCTACCAGTAGGAAAGATGCTAAAAGGTTTTTGTTCAGGAATGTCTGTAGCATACTGTATTTAAAGATTGTCTTCAAACTATCCATATTAAGTGATATCTTAGACTACAGATTTGGAACTGACCATAATGTCATCAAATCCAAGAGTTGTTGATAAATTTACTATTTCAACTAAGAACGTCAATCATGCAGAGGAGACTTGGGGTGGGGTGGGGTCTAATGCATTCACTTTAGATCATAAGGTCTGTCGTTGAGTCAAATGGTGTGGTTTTGATTACCAGCTTGTACTTGACAAGGAGAAGGGTCGCTTGTTATTAATAGAAAGATTCCTCCCAAGTGAATTAATAAAATAAGACAAATTTTGATTTCAAGTCAGAGCTTTACATAAGTTGTTTGATATCACTGTATTTTTCCAAATTTTGTTTTGCAATGAGGATGCAATGTTGCATAGCGATTCTAACGACCCATATCTTTTACAAGTGTATTTTGATACTTATGGCCCTAACTTTAACAAGTGTATGTCAATACTAATCGCTAACTACTTTCACAGTTTTTTTCACTAATGACCTTTAATTTTCATAAGTGTATTATGAAACTGCTACCTGCACCTGTATTATAAACTGATACATTGTACCCACATTTTGTTCACTAATGGCCCTGTATTATGAAACTAACACCTATAATTTTTTCACTAATGGCCCCTTAACTTTAACTTTTACAACTGTATAAATTGTGACACTGATATCGACATTTCTATCCAAGTCCTACTGACAATATTCTAAGGCATCATATTTAGAAGATTTATTTAATACTTTTAATACTAAAATGGTGCTGTACTGTTAGAGACAAAGAGAGAGAGAGATGGGGTTTAATGTCCACTCGGCACAAACTAGGTCATTTCGGGACTAACATATGGTTTAATTTTATTTCAATAATTCGCTTGCGCGTAGGGGTCTTTAGCAGTGGGAGGAGACCAGAGGACCCGGAGAAAAACCAATGAGGTTGGACAGGCGACCCTACTCCTTGTCACATACAACTGGGGATTTAAAACCATGCCAGTTGACTCAATGACAGGCCTTATGATACAGCGCGCACATGATAACCATTCGGCCATCCAACCCCCCTACTGTTAGAGACAGCTTTTATCATCTTTGTTTATAATATCTGTTATCAATTTAGACAGATAAAAGGATCAAAAGCTATAGTGTACTTAACGGCCTTAATAAATCAATAAATGTTTTCCTAAATTCACAAGAGACAACAAAGTTAACAAATTCAATTGTCTATCAGACTGTTATATAACACAAGAACATTTTTAACCTTAAAAAAGTCGAGTTTTATGTAAATATAGAACAACTCGCTACACTAAGTTAATATCATATATAATATTAAGCCTGTTTACTTTTTATTAATGATCAATTATATTTCACAGACCACAAAAGATGTGTTATGTCTATGTATAATTATACTGCTCCTGTTGGCTTTATCATGTGTAGTATCTAGATGACAATGTGAGAACTTCTGAAGATATAAGCTTACAAAAAATAAATATGCAAATATGTTATCGATGATAATAGGATTTAAATGAGTTATTATCTTCTTTCATGCATCTTGTGACAATGATGTAATTCGTCAGTCAAGTTTATTTAACATCTTTAAAATAAGGTGAAATTTTGGTGCTGTTAACAAATTGATTAACTACAGTAATCATGAATATGAAAATGAAATGAAATGAAATGGGGTTTAACTTCCTACTCCGAACTGGGCTAATGAAGACAGGCATACGCCATACAGTGTGCTATGAGGGAAATTTTGCCTAGACTGCAGCACTACAGCTTACACTTACATCGAATTCCAACTGTCAAGGGATCTTTTACGTGCACGTAAATCTGTACACGGGACCTCGGTTTTTCGTCCCAATCGAACGACTAGATATGTCAGGAATATGTCATGAATTTGACAAAAATAGTAAATACCAAAGACCTCAAGCAGCCTCACACTGGATATTACTGATCCTGATGATTAGCACCTGTATAACCTTACCAGCGTAGGTCAACGTGTTATATAAGAGATAAATCTGTTTGATTTCTAATTTTTCTATGATAACATACAGGGATACGAGTCTGGATCATTTCAAATATAATGATGCTTCCGCCTCCGATTTTTCGATATTAACACCAGTTAGCACTGGTGACCTTTAACTACTCTGAACTCTGACCAAAACAGTCAATGATATTTGTTTATTTGGTGCAATGTCTATTTTCTGTCTTGTCCGCAGGTTTATCTTGTAGATTTTTGTTTAACGTGTAGTGCAGTCCTCCTACACTTACTAATAGTAATATCAAAGATGCATTCTGTAAGATTTAGATATACAGGTCACAATTACTGCTTATTCCATAGAATTGTGACCTGTATAGTCCAGTTCAATTACTAAATACCATTGAAACATTTTAAGATTTAGATATAGAGCTATAATAATTGATGAAAAGAGAATATGTTGAAAATTTCAGTCACTTTACTTCATTCTATTACGATAATAAACATTTATCCATTTTTCAATTAAATTGTTAACTAGCAATCGTTTTTATAAATCTGTAGAAAATCAAAAGCATCCGATAGTCTAGGGCATTGATTATGGGGTTGGCATCAGGAGCAAATCCAGGATTTTCAGAAGGGGGGGGGGCGTGCTGACCCCACTTGGGAGTGTAAAGCCCAGCCCTCGGTGGGCGGACTGACGGGCAATCAACCAAGTCACCACCGACTCGTTTCAGAGTAAATTACGATTTCCAACCTAAACTGACTGTTAATTTCTTTCAAACGAGAATGTATGGGGTAAAAAATTGTTCGCCACCACACACACACCCCCCACCATGGATACGTGCCTGGGCTGTGATTAAATTTCTAATGAATGATTTATGTAACATTTGAGGTCAAATGAAAGATCTGTATATAATGCATCTTTAATAAATTGATAAAGGCATATATTTAGCATTTAGTTTAAACACACATTATGCAAGAGCTAAATCTGCCTATTGTTGGTCTTTCTTTAGGCCAGAAATGTTATATAAACTATTAATTAGACATTAATTCACTTATCCAGACCATAATCAACTCTCCATATCAGTGATGGGATTTCAAAAAATTTCATGTCGGACATTTTTTCCTGAAAATAAAGGGGCATAACTCTTACCATAATTTAAGCAGACGTTTTCAAAACACAATTAAGAATCATGTGTCAACAAAATATATTCAAATTCATATGTAAAAAAAAAATAGGTGCACCTCGTTATATTTTATGTTTAAAACCCGTACGGTATTCAAATTTATGTCAATAATATTCATACAAAATTACATGACATCGTAATACTATAGAATTGGCAGCGTGCCGACTGCTGCCAATCTGTTTCAAACTCCCCCAAAATTACCGTATTTTTCGGGTCATACGTCGGTACATTTTTCAGCAAAGTCCGACATTCGTCTGATACTCTGTTTCGATTTATATACGGAAGGTGAAAAAATGACATCCCGAAATTTATTTGGCCGTAAACCGTAGTTAACGACGCCCTAATGAGCGAGTGACACCAACTGCTAAATAATTGCATTCGACTGTAGCACGCGCTATCATCTAAAACAATTAACTACTTACGTCATTCCAATCGAAATATTCGTCAACATTTCTTAGCGTGTTTATTTATTTAAAGACATAAACCCCCTTCAAAATTTAATCATAAATCCGACAATATGCTATCAAAATAGAATCTTTTCTCGAACATCAGGCGTATTGGATTCAGCACGTATACATCTCTTAATTTCACGTGTCTCGCGAGATTTGTACTTTCATTTTAATTACTGAACTCTACAAGCGCCATGTGTGTGAAATATCTTTATTTAACTTCGGCTTCCACCGAAAATATATCACAGACAAGTTATCAGATACAATGTATGTTGATTTGAGGTGTTATATACTATCAGGATATGTGACATATATGACTAATTTCTACGTGTTATTGTCCGACACAACAAAGGAGATTAAAACGTGAGACAATGGCGAAATCACGGGTAATCAGATTAAGTTTATAATCACTCTTATTGGATTGATATATCGTCCGACAAAGGAGAAGCAATGACTTCTGTTCAGGATTGATTTGATGAATTGTCCGATAAAGAATTAAGTCAGCCAATCAAGGCAGAATAGTAGTTAATCAAGGTAGGTGTGTAAGACGATATAACATGATAAATAGTCGATCACTTAATTACCTAATCAATCCAGCCTATTATCAACGATAATCGATAATCGGGTTGCACGGTAGTTATACACTCAGTACACTATATTAATTTTGGAATTTGAATATTATTCACCATGTCTTGATGTCCAATTGGGCATATTCCCGGTCGGACAATTTTGGGCGTTTCGAAAAAAGAATCGGACAAGTCCGGAATATACGGGTAAAATCCCATCACTGCTCCATATCATCTTTTGTGTCGTATTTTCACTGAATTTGAATTCGATCTGCTGCCCAATGCTCATTGATGATTAAATCCAAAAATGGATAATCAAGGCTATGTTTTTTATCGTACTGACTTCAGTAATGATGATCAAGGCTAGGCTTAAAATTCAAAAGCTAATATCTTAGTTTAGAGTGGAGAAATTTGACTGAAATTTTCAACATATTCTATTTACGTTGCCAATTTTTTAACTATTATAATCAGAACAGTCAACTCTTTTATATAATCTCCCATAATGCCTCTTCAATTATTGTTGTGTCTGCGCGCTCTCACTTAAGATTTCAATTATGCTTACATATGCATGGGGATAATTTTTATGTCTGAACTAATATGGTGAACAACTAGGCTTAATTTCCTTGGGTCCATGTCAGGATAAATACTACAGATTAGTGCTGTCTCGATATAACATTGAATCAATGTATCATTATTAACCTTCTCATGATTCACGTATTTAATCGTCAGACATTGAATCGATGTGTCATGTTTCTTTTTTATGTTTTTTTGTCGCTTCAGTAAGTAACCTATGACCCTTAATTATCCATGTCAGACAAACACTCTTAAATTATTTGGGTTCTTATTTTGATCCACATCAACATTGTGATCAGTTTTATTTCCCTCGACATCGTCAGGACTAAACATATCAAATATTCATTTATCCTGATGTTTTCTTGGTAATTATTGACCGAGTTATGAATCGTGATACCTGAATCACGATTGTAGCACCTGAATCGCTATACATATCTTATTGTGACTGCAGAAACAATACCCAACACTATTACAGTTGCACAAGGACGGAACAAGATTATGATTTTGGTAAATCATCAAAAAAAACTCTTCAAAACCTACCCGTATTTGTTCCACCCGTAACAATCCAAGCTCCAGTAGTTTTCGCTGCCTTTAGCAAACCCTTTCTGAAAACACGTTTTAGTTTAGGCTGTATATCAAAGTTGAGGATGCCTCCATGAACTGTGATCAGTAATTTGGGAAGATCTAAACCCCAATTCTTCTGTAAGAGTTGTAGTACTTGTTCTGGTTTTGTATCAAAACTACTCAATCTGACATACTGAAATATATAATAAACAAAATGAAATGAAATGGGATTCAAAATCCTACTGTTCTTCTCCGACAGGGGTAATGAAAATGGGCATATGCCATACAATGTGATCTATGAGAAAAATTTTGCTAGCATATCAGCGCTATGGCCTACTCTAATATCCAATTTCAATTTCTGAGCACGGTTTTCACTCATCAGAGCATGGACGACCTCTAAGGCAGGTTAAAATAGGCTCTGATGAGGTCCACCACCTCAATCATAAACTAAAAAGATGAAACACACTCATTATCGAGTGTAGTCAGGTTTTGATGTAATGAAACTAGCTAAACACCAAGTTTTCATCACTTTCGCTCGTATATAATCAAACTTTTCGTGTCCTAAAGCATCAACAAATCAAATTACTTATATCTGATTAACCTAAGCTAAAAAAGCTCATTAATGAGCTTAGTCACAACATTCACCAAGTTTGAACATTCTACCTCAGACAGAAGCAGAGAACAAACTCATTTTAGTAATCTCCAGTTTTCTTCAAAAGTCCACGAACAATAAATGGTTTGTCTGGAACATTCTATTAACATTTAACATTTCGAGCTAAAGTACATAACTATTTCATTAAAATATGTCTTTGATTAACTGCAGACCTTGAAATGAGTTTTAAATTAGATGAACGCAAGAACTATATTACAGAAACTGAGCTATAAATAGTTTTTAAAATATAAAATAATCGGTTTATGATCTATTTGTAGGTTTTCTCACAAAGATTGGACTCTAAATATAGTAAAGATTCCGATCTAATATAACTTTACGAAGCTAAAAAAATAAAGTATGTATCAATTTCTATAAAAAAAACAAATATCAGGTAGTATAGAATGGATAATTATAGAGGTTGCGGCAGAGTATTTAATGCTGGTATTAAATAAAAATTCTTAGAATTTTATAAATAATAAAATTTAGCCTTTGGCCATAATATGATAGTGAAATAACATTAAAATTAACAGTTATCTTAGACTCAACTAGTATTGTTTATGTACTATAACATGTACATATATATAGTCCTTACATTTTTTCACAGACATAATTTATATTTTCTCTTGAATAGCTACGCTCGTGTTTTGTTAAAGGATAACATTTACCAGTAAATTGAAAAATTATATTTCCTCTTAAATTAATCTTTTTTTAAATTCAGTTTCATGAAGGATATTAATTAAATTACATAAAATTATAACTTCTCTTGAAATGGCCATCTTGTCAAATTAAGTCGCATAAAAGATAATATCTAAATTATTTACTGTATTCCTCTTGAAATGTCTCTTGTGTTCATATAACAAGACAGAGAGAGAAATGGGGTTTAATGTCCACTCAACACAAACTAGGTCATTTCGGGACTAACACATGGTTCGATTTTAATTTAATAATTCGCTTGTGCGTAGGGGTCTTTAGCAGTGGGAGGACATGGAGAAAACCCATGTGGTTGGACAGGCGACCCTACTCCTTGTCACGTACAACCGGGGAATCGAAACCATGCCAGTTGACTCCATGACAGACCTTATGATACAGCGCACACGTGCTAACCATTCGGCCACCCCCAACCACCCTCATATAACAAACAGCTAGGGTTTTCATCCAATGAATCCATCTTTTATCTATTACCTGAGCTTTACTAGGATGAGGAGCTCCCTGAAACTCGATGGTACCATAGGCGTCGGTTGGTTTGGCTTCTGTATGTTTGTATGGATGCCATTTCTCCTCTTTACTTGCACTGGTTATATTTGGAGGTAATGTTGTGTGCCATGATTCTCCTCTTCCACAATAACATCTACAACAAATAAAAAATAAAATTAGAATTTTCCACAAAAAACTACAACAAATAAAAAAAAAAAACACAGTTTAAAATATTGTTTCTTCCACATTAACATCTACAACAAATAAACAATTGAGTCTAAGATAGATAAGATATTTGTCTTAATTCAGTTCATTTCTAATTATAAATATAGAGAGAGAAAAATAGGGTTTATCGTGCACAACACAAACTAGGTCATTTCAGGACTAACATATGGTTCAATTTTATTTCAATCACTCCCGTGTGTGTAGGGGTCTTTAGCAGTCGGAGAAAACCGGAGGACCCGGAGAAAACCTACGAGGTTGACAGGTGACCCTACTCCTTGTCACGTACAACCAGGGAATTGAAAACAAAATTAAGCAGACTTAGTCATCTACATCCTTGTGTACCAAAAAATAAGTTAAATGTGAATAATTATGCCCAGGTGTAAACTGCAAGTTAAAAAAGTAATGAAATTGAAAAAAGTACATGGGTATATCCAGGAAAATGAGTCCAGGGGCCGGGGACGGTGGCCAAGGTGGACCTTTGAGACAATATTTCTGCTCATTACGGTGCATACATGTATAGGATTAAAGTGGAGTCAGCCAAAACGGCAATATTTCCATGAATGTATAACGAAAAAATATTCTCTGAAGCAATGAAATGTTTATGTCCAAAGCAATTTTAATCTAATCAGTTTACATTGCCAGGATGAGCCAGCTCAGAAAGAAAAAAGGTAGGTGGTTTATTGCCCCTACTTTGTTTTTACGTGATAAACTTAAACTGGTTGCTGCTGTTACTAACTTAATCATCTGAACTTTTAAATGAAAGAGGCTCTGATCATATCCATCAGCACCTAATGTTTTTGTTTACATTACATCTTAGAATAAAGAAAATGATGACGGAACTGTAAAGAACTATCACAAGATTAATGATTTAAGTTGCGGAAGTGCAAAAGATTGAAACATAGTCCACATGATTTTATTTACAACCATCCATACTGTTTCCTGTTTGAAGTTTCCAAAATGAGATACTTCGTTTATACTACAAAACATCCTACAATATACCGTCCAGATGCTTATTTTAAAAACAGTTCAAAATCGCCAGAGTTTTTAAGACAGGATCGTGTTGCGTTCATACGTACTATAAGCCAAACCAGTTTAACTATTCTGACCTCTTCGGTCGGAGGTTAGAGTTAACTATGCATGGGTAGCTGCACATTCTTTATTCAGTTCTTGCACGCTTTCAGTAACACTGGCACTACCTAACCCAGATATTTTCTCAGAAATGTAACTTACTACATACTGCGCATGTTCAAAGCAGGCTGGAGCCGGGCTTTTTAAGCCAAACTGCTCTGACGGCCAAGATGAAACAGTTTAAAATAAAAAGCCTTCTCAAAAACAGGTCGCGAGCTGGGGTTTTTGAACTGGTTTATTTGCCCCACTGGTTTAACAATCCCCAGAGGTTTTTAAACCAGTTCAACTTAAATGTCTGAACAGGCTACAAGATGCAGTGAGTTTGTAAGTGATTTAATCTTGAAAAAAATAAGCCAATGTAATAAAGCTGAACTGTTTTTAGTCTTAAGCCAGAACTTCTCTTTAGAAAAAATTGACTTCCCCAACACGTACTTTTTCTTTTGAGAAAAAAAGCCAATTTAAGACCTTTTCTTAACAACTGCTGATATTAAGAATAGCTATAAAGAAAGTCCTGTCTGGCCTCAACATAATAATTTGTGCCATTCGAGTAATATCTACTCTGGGCATCATTTTGATATTGCTCCATCCTCACAGATTAACTAATTGTATTAAACATAGCTTGGCAGTAAATGAAACATATGCCAATCAGCAGAGAGTTGTTTTTCATCCCATCCGAAAGACTTAACCTTTCTCGGCAAACACCGGGATTGAAACCGCGACCTCCATGCTAGCAATCCAGCATCTTAATTACTTGCATAGCTACCCTGCAGGCACAGCGTATCTGATCATATAAAACAACTCAATACAATGTGTGTTCTTAAATGTATATTGAATAATGATCCTCTATTTATAAAACACTAAAAGTTTATATTGCAATTTAAAAGATTTTTTTTTTTTGGTAAACAATATTTTATTTCATTTGAAAATGAACTGGAGAACAGGCTAGGCCTACATTGACTCCTCTACAGATTTCTCTGTAGAACAACGGAAATGCCTCTGTAAGCAGGAAAGTCTTTGAGTTTAAGTGAATTATAATTACTTTCAATTATAACCAGTATTGCAGAATTAATGGCAAAGGAGATATTCATCCCATAATAAAAAGAATATATTGGCACTGGTTCAAAAATTATTAAAATGAATTTAATCTAACTAAAGTTATGGCGATGTAGCCCAGTCGGAGCAGAACGGTAGGACAATAAACCCCATTTCATTTCATTCCTAATACATTCACACACCAGTACCTCTGTTAAAATGTTGTTGAGCAGAACATCATTTATTTCAATCAACCAATATTTTCATTGTACTTTTAGTACAGTACTATACAATGTATAAACAATCCAACATTCTGAGAAAAGCAAAAACGTACAAGGACTGAAATGTCGCGCCATATGTACATGTTAGCAGTTTTAACACAAGCACGACATTACCATCAGAAAGCCATGTGCACTAAAATAATCTTTTTCCATTGATTATTTCTGAATCATTGGAATTTCATTTCTGTTGACTATCAATTCTATTGAATTTTCGATTTAACTACGCAAAGTCTCCTCATCGGATCTTAATTAGCTTTATTTGTATCGTGAATCTCCGCCCACATTGATTAACTGACTTGTCATAAAATAAGGAAGTTGCTAAATCGAATGTGGCGCCATAGTTTCCTCCACTTTTTATTTCCAATTGGTTATAATATCATTTGATCAAAACTAATATTTATCATCTTTTTCAGTGTGATTTCTCGACTATATATATTTCTAAAGAGATAGCGTTTAGTCTACACCATACCCTATAGCTATTGACCAAATTTTGCTTGAAATTAAGAAAATAAATACATAATATTTCAAGGCTATATTGTTTATTAATAGATGAAATAAAATTTTGGGCACTTTTTACTCAAATTGGATCAAAATACGCAATCTCTGACGACTAAAATTCAGTATGCAATCACACAGAAAATCCAGTCAAGTAAAATAAAAGTTAGGTACACATATATATGACTACAATCAAAACACAGTTTAGCACATTTGCAACAAAATTTCTTTATTGACTTTCCTGTTTACGTTTACGTAGGTAACAGGAAAAACAAAATGGTCCAACACTTTTGATCGGTAAGATGTTTTTTCGATATCAACTTCACCTGGTGTAATACTAAGCATGTCTCCCTGGGCTAGGACATGATACTGTATCATATTGTAGAACAGCGTATCGTTTCAGCCCTAGCTGATGTGTATACAAAGTTTCATAAAGATATCCCGGAAACAAAACGAAGGACAGATGTAGCCCATTTCAATACCGCTACCTTAATTTCGTTCGGCATAGGAAATGAAATGAAATGGGGTTTAACTTCCTACTGTTCTGCTCCAAACTGGGCTAATGAAGATAGGCATACGCCATACAGTGTGCTATGAGTGAAATTTTGCCCGGACAGCGGCACTACGGCCTACTCATATATCGAATTCCAAATGTCAAGGGATCTTTTACGTGGAGGCCAATGTGTACCATACGAACGACTAGGCAGCTGTCCTTGTCAGGCCCTCCGTCCTGCATCACTGACAAGGGGGAACCACGCCAGAAAATCTGGATGAGCTTTCTCAGCCAATGTAGGGATCGAACACCCGATTTCCAGGCTACCGAGCCAGCGTCTTACCCATTTAGCCGGCATGACCCCCCCGTTCGGCATAGGATAATAATATTTATCTCTATGTCGTATTCAATAAAAATGTACTTCTGTTTTAAATGGAAAGAAATGATTGATTATTCAGTGTTAAGAGGGATTCGAGTACAAGATAATCTAAAACTAGTTAGAAGGCAGAAAATTTGATAAAATGTAGAATTACTGGAAGGAAAATGCTTTATAAATATCATCACGGGACATCAAGTAGTTATGGCCTCGTGAATCAATATTCTATCACTTGAGAAAAGGGACATTTGCATCAATTGATGTTTCCTGCCAAATTAATTGTCAGAATTTCATTTTTGGTGCTAAATTTGGCGACAGAAGAACGGATTCGAAGACCTTCCAGGCAATCAATAGATAAAACCAATATTAGATCAGACAATAGGTCTTGTGGGGTATTTAAGTTTCCGATTTACGGTAATATGGTTGTGGAATTAGTAGCGTGAAATTGAGTTGAACAGTGCTAACGGCATATTCTCTTATGAGATTAAATTTAAAGTTTACAGATAAAAGAAAAACTCAACTAAATCATATATATATTTTTTAATAAGATGCAAAACATTATTAAACACAAGAATTGATTAAATCCAGAATTATATCTTGAAATATGTTGCCAATATGTGAAAAACAGGCCCATTACCCAAAAGTTTCAATTAAAAATTAAATTTTCATTTAATTAACATTGTGCTAAATTTCTCTCAAATTTATAAAAGTTTAAAATAATAATAATAATTAAAAAAAAACAATTCTAGAAAACCAACAGACTAGTGACAGACAAAACTTATAATTCTCTCTAGTTTTACCAGTAGAAGACTACCGATAATTAGTTGTGCCATAAGTCAAATGTTCTGTTTTTAAAGGACTCAGACCTTTTACTCAATATCATCCACACTCTTCCACATTGCAACCACGATTTTATATTGGTCAATTTAAATCAACATTGATGTAGTTATCTTACAATGAAAAGTTGGGCTTCTGATATCCAATATTTAAAACAAAATTAAAATTTTAAAATTGGCACACAAATTGTGTGCCATGTTGCTTTCGAGTGCCAGACATTTAAGATGTAGGAGAATACTACCACCAAGTACCGGTGCAGACTGGAACAACCGGACAGCAAAGACTGC